TGACCGCCGTTTCGCTGCCAAGCCGCGCACTTGTGGTCACGGCGGGCTTGCATCTGGCCTGCTGGCAAACGTCCTGATGGCCGCCGGTGGCAGAGGACACGAGGCGCTTGATGGCACCCGCTTTGCGCGACAGCAGCTGCTCCGGCGCATCCTGATCCGCATCAGCCGGGGCTGGCGTGAGGGCGCACGACGCCGCCACTGAGCCGCTAGCAACGCGATTTGATTCATCAGGAGACACTGATAGATATGCGCTCATTAGTCCGTGAAATGTGCGAGTCACCAGGCGTGCATGGTGCCGCGCGCGCGCCGAAAGATCACGCGATCTGCGAGGTGTTTGCGCAAGGGCGCGTCCAAGTCGATATAGATTGACATGAATATGCCCGAGATTGCATGTAAAAGTGCTGCTTTGCAGACCCTGCGTTTTGTACCGTGTGCATCGTCACGCACACGGGATGCATGCCAGTTCATACCGGTACTGCAGTTGATACTGGTGAATTAGCTTGATTCAGAGAATTGCTCGGCTGACATAACGCGAAGAAGGGGGCGCACTTTGCGTATAAAGGCAGGCCCGCTGCCAGAACAGCCTCGTGCTTCAATGAGGACTGCCCCCGTGTACAGCCATGCCACCCGTGTACAGCACAGTTCAAGTTGGTGGCATCAACACACGTAAGCATGTGTCTGTGACCGGTCTTGATCAATCGCGTGACAGGTTCAAGCGCGAGGGCTCGCTTCCCTTCTTCGACTTCGGGATGGTGGGCCGCAGGGTGGGTCGCGTCACCTGGTCGGCGCTGGCGGGCACCTGCCTGCAGTGCTAGGTGAACGCCACCTTGGAGTCCGGAGGGTCTTCATAACAATCATAATTGTTGTAAATTACATGTTTGATCAGTGCGCTGACGATCATCCATTCATTCGCGCGTTGCCCTTCCGAAACTCACGGTCGACACCAACTCGCTCTTGCGCGCAGCTCAGCATAAGAACAAGGCAAAACTCTCTTACACCCTCGTGCGGGGCATGAACTAGAGATCAAGTGTGACCAGACTCCGGTGCTCGCGTTGCGACGACCTGCAGCCTTTCACAGGCGTTCAAATCTGCATAGAACATCATCAGGCATGTCGAGGCGCGCCGCAAACTACGTCTTGCGCCTGAGCGGCGATCGCCACGCTGCTGCGGCTGGCATGGCGGTTCGATCCAGTCAGCCTGGCCACCGCATTAATACCAGCAGCGGTTGCTGAAGCCCCGACGCGGCCCGCATTGCCTTAACACAAACTCTGACATGACACCTTCAATGCCCACTAACGCACCCTCGGCGCAGCTTTGTAGGAACGGACCGCCAAAGACGGGGCTCTCTGTCCCACCCCGGTCGCCGGCTGCGCAGGGCGGCATCGACGCCGCCGCCACCCTCTACCTAATGTGGGCGATTGTGCTGGTCGGCCTCATCATCACATTTGCATTGGTGGCGGTGTGCATCCAGCTGCGCCGGCGTGGGCGCGGCGAGGCCGGCCCCCTGCCGGTCGCCGCACCCGCGACGGCTGCCGCCACGCCAAGCGGCAGGCAACGCCATGTGGTCGCCGCTGCTGCTGCGGCCGCTGCGGGGGCGCCGGGGTCTCCTGCGGGCTCTGACGAGCTGTCGGCGGTGGTGACGCGGCGCGGCTTCCGCAGCAAGAAGCTTCCAACGCCGCATCACATCATCACAAATCTGCCTACCTACGTGTACACGCTGCCGGCCTCGGCTGTGCCCAAGGCCGTCAGCCACCCTGCCAGCGACGATACCGCAGCCGAGCCCGACCAAGAGCGGCCGTCAGCGGCCGCACCCGCTGTCGCCGGCTGCGACGGCGGCGAGGACGCACGCCCTGTGTGCGTGATCTGCTGCGAGCCGTTTCAGGAGGGCTGCACGGTCAAGCTGCTGCCCTGCATGCACGGCTTCTGCTCAGACTGCATCGACGCGTGGCTGGAGCGTGACACTCACTGTCCCTGCTGCATGGAGTCTGGTGAGGCAAGATGCGGGTCGATTGGGGTTGGTGATGCCTTGAGGGCGTTTTTAGGGGTTCAGCTGCCAGGGATGCGGCGCCGGGCGGGCAATATGGGTTGATCCTGACGCCTGGCTCGCCGTCGTTGCCGCCACTGCCACCCGCGCTGCCGTCGCGGTTTCTCACTAAGTCGCCGCCATGGTGCCAGCTGGTTGCGCTGCCTCGCCGTCCTGCGGCCCAACTGACGCCCCCCTGGGCGCCCCAACCTGTGTGCTTCTGCTGCCTCCTGCGCCCCCCAGTCCTCAGTGGTGCGGGGCTGTCAGAGTCGGAGGCCCTCGAGGTCGTCGTCTGCTCAGACCCAGGGTCTCCGCCACCCGAGGCGCGCCCGCGCCAGCCAGCGGCCGGCGGCGGCACGACCGGCGGCGGCACGGGCGGCGAGTGGGGTAGCGGGGCACGGCGGCCGGCAGACCAGAGCGTTCTCAACCCACTAGAGCAGCAGCAGCAGCAGCAGCAGCAGCAGCAGCAGCAGAGTCACCACCTCCACACATTGGGCTCGCCAGGGGCTCACCCGCGCGTGATGGTCGGCCTCCTCCCGGCCGTGAACAGTGGATTGGTCATGGCCATGTGACGGAACTTGCGGCGGCTGCCGTCGTGAGCCGCGAACGGTGGGCCACGCGGCGTGCGATGTGTTGCGATTTGACGGCACGGCACTTGATCGCCGTGAGCTTGAGCTGCTGTCTCACGGGGCAGTTGCATTACATTAGCACCGCCCACCCCTACGCCCGCGTCGCCCTAGTGCTGCCTCCCGATTTGGTTCGCACTGCACCCTCCTGCAACTTGCGCACTCTCTTGGTTTTGCTGAGACGCATCGCATGCATACATGTCACTTTTAGTGCACCCCATCTGACCAGCCCGCCATGTCCCGCCGCCTGAAACGGATGCACAAGCACACTCCTGCAGCAGTGCCGCACTCACTCGCGTTGTACACCGCGCCGCCCCATCGCTGCATCATCCCTGCTCGTCATCCTTCTGCCTGCCTCAAACGATCGGCGGTCGACTGCAAACGGGCGGCTGTGGGAATTCTGCAAAGCCGAACGCTGAGCGCCATGTGCCCCGGGGCGCTGTACGTTTTGTGGCGGGCTCAGTGGCGGGCCTGCGGCAACGCGAGGCTGGCGGCCTCACGCCCGGGCCACAGCTTTTTCGTTTGCGGGCTTCTGCGCACTGTGTGGCCCTGGCAGGCGCACATGTACACAGGCTGGCACCAACACGACATTTTATCTCGTTCGGCAGAGATTTTTGTACTTCCGCGCATCTTGCAAATTCGCCACCACGTCCGCTCTGCCCCTGCAGCCGACACTCTGAAGTACGCAGGTGCATCACTTGCACCCTGGCTGGTCTGCCGGCGCACATGCACAACAGCACATATGTTTAGTTGATCTGGGGCGCGTCTTCTCCACCGTTCAAGCTGTGCACGTTGTGGCGGACGGTCTGATGGTGGGCCACCTCCCCGAGTGCATGTGAACACATTTAAACAAGTCAGCGCCTGCCTGCCCTTGTTGGATACGCGCATGTTGCCGTTACACCCTGTGTGTACTGCATCACCTGAGCACCACGCTCTGTGTCAGCACAAGCAGTAAAACATGCTGGCGCAGATCAGGGCTTCGTGGACAGCAACTGGGGGGCACCCGCAACTGGGGCTGTGGCAGGAGTTGACCAGCTCTTGCAGGTCCGTCAAGCTCGCTGTCTCGATCTCTATCTCAATATTTCCCATGAAATTTGACATGCGTCCCTATAACAACACGAGGCAACTTCAAATGCGCGTCCACCCTTTCGGCTGACCACGGGGGCGTGATTTCTTTCACTACTGCCTGACACAGCTTAAAGTACGCCCTCAGTGTCACCATATATACCAACATAATGGCGACTACCGGGGTATGCAACAACGGGACGTGCGATCACGCGCGCAGCAGGTTTCACCATGGCACGCTGGACGGCGTGCTCGAGGCGAACAGGTGAGGCATATCGATTGTTATACAAGGCGGCTTATTCAGGCCGACCGCCACACGTGATATTCAAAGAAATCTCTCCAATGCATCTGCGACAGCAGCCGTCCGCGAGAGCCCTTCCGCGGCCCGCCGTGCGAGTTATAGTACAACTCAAGTGCAGCTATACCTCATTTGAAGATGGACGGAGTGCGGTGGCGGTTCCAAGCGCGGGATACTGGCCCGCCGACACCTGGCATGCCCATGCCGCAACCGCTGCTGCACGAGCAGGGAGTGGGCCGCGTCCGTGCTCGCGGCGGACCCCGGCTTTTTCCAGCGCCTCACCCACCAGCAGGCGCCCGAGTTCCTCTGGATCGGATGTGCAGACTCGCGCGTGCCGGTGCGCCCCCCAGCCGCCTGCTGCGCCGCTCGCCCGAAACCCCACCGACCGCTGGTGTCAGAACTTCGCCGCGGCGCGCTTTCAACTTTCCGCGCCGAGAGCAGCTGCTCACCCTGTGAACGGCACACGACCTCTCTCCGAGCGCAGGCAAACCAGATCTTGAACATGAGCCCGGGGGAGGTATTTGTGCAGCGGAATGTTGGCAACCAGGCTATGCACACCGACATGAACTGCATGTCGTGCCTCGAGTACAGCATCAAATCCCTCAAGGTGGGGTCACCATCACTGCGATCATGTTGTACATATTCGGGGGTTTTCGCCCTGTCAACACTGCTGCGTCGAGCTGAGGCGTGACGAAGCGACCCAACTGCCTCGAGCTTTTCCCTCGGTTGCAGTGCGGCATCCGCGAGCAGCCTAGACCGCCAGCGAGGCCGCAGGCGGGCGGCGGGCGGGCGTCCCCTGCAGCATGCGCCACGCCATTGCTGGCCGTGCGGGCAATCCCAAGGTTATACGTTAGTTTGAAACCCTCTTCCCGGCCCTGCTCAGCCCCCCTCATTTTCTGCACTCGACACACACACACAGGTGAAGACCATTATCGTCTGCGGCCACTACAACTGCGGCGCAGTGCGCGCCGCGCTGGAGCTGCCGTCGCGCACCCCCGGGCTGGTCAACTGCTGGATTAGCGACATACGTGAGGCGCGCAGCCAGGCGTCGCGCGAGCTGGCGGGGCTCAGCCGCGAGGAGGCGCTGAGGCGGCTGTGCGAGCTCAACGTGATGAGACAGGTGAGAGGGGGTTTTGACACTGTGCACGTTCTGTGTGTGGTGTGTGTGTGTGTGTGTGTGTGTGTGTGTTTGTGTGTGCGCGCACATGTGCATGCGCATAAGCGTTTGCTCAATCGATGGGCATGCTTGTTTTGTCACAATCCATTTTCATGTGTCGGCGAGTACTCCCTGGGCTGCGTGAGAAAATCAATCACGGTCGTGTCCTGCTTGCATGCAAGGGGCTCTGGAAGGCTGCAAGTGCTTGAAAGTGCAGTGGGGAGGGGGAGGGGCAGGGAGTGGGGCACAACTGCGCCATTGCACCAGCGCGGGGACGTGCGTCACGCCCCTGCTGCCTGATCAGCAGCCGGCCGCAGCTGGCAGCGGTCTCCGCTCTGCCTGATCACCGCCCCGCCGCCTTCCCGACGCGTTCCCTTTCCGCCCGGCCTGCGCGGCGGCCGCAGGTGTTCCACGTGTGCACCAGCCCCGTGGTTCAGGAGGCCTGGGCGGTTGGGCAGGAGGTGCACGTGTGGGGCGTGATATACGATGTAGCAGACGGCCTCGTGCACCGCCTGGCGGGGCCCATGAACGCCAGCAGCGACATCGACTCGCTGAGGTGGGGGGCGGGGGTGGAGGGGTGCTCTGCCGACCCGTAGAATTCAGCTGCACTTGGACACGGCGCAGCGCTTGGCGCCGACCGGCAAACGTGATTGGGGGGTTGGCGGGAAGGTCAGCAGGTGGGGTGCGTTCGAGTGAGCGCGCCGGCGCTGCCTGGATCGCGCCGCCAGTCCAATCGTCCGGCGCCGTGTTGCTGTCCTGTTTGCAGGTACGAGATGACGGCTGTGATCGGGGATGACGCGAAGAGCAAGAAGCGGCCCAGGGAGGAGGGCCACCCTGTCCAGGAGCACGCAGTCGCGCCGGTCGATGCGGCGTGAGGCGGCGCCCGAGCGCCGCCGCCGCCCCCTCCCATTGGGCCCCGCGTCGCGCGGAGGGCGCCGGCGGGCGCGCCCGGCATCCCAGTGCCGCCTCCTGGTGCCTCAGATCGCTAGGCAACGGTTGCTTGTTGCGGCACCTGCTGGCTGATCAGCTCCCAAACTCTGTTGTCTGGACTGTTTGCGGTTTACAGCCTGGCGCCGCCATCATCAACGCCCTGGCAGTGAAGAGGCTGCTTGTGATCTCGTGCCGTTGATTCGGGCCCAAACCGCACTCATCAGAGCCCCCTGCAAATTAGTCATGGCGGGCCGCAAGCGTCGTGCGGCGTCGCCACAGCCAGTGTTGTGCCGCCGGCCACGCCATGCTGGCCGTGCTGTACCTGACTGCCATATCTCGTACGAAAACAAGACTGGACTTGTGCACGACCTTGGTCCCGGTAGGGGCCAGCAGCCGCGCCTGCATGGGCGGCTGAGGGTGGTAAAACGTGTGGGTACGATTCACAGCTTTGGCGCAGAACAACTTGAACCCGTCTGGTCAAAGGTGTCGCCTGTATTTCTCTCGCTGGACGCATTGTTTGTCAAGGACTCGTGTGTATGATGCCCTCCCCCCACCTCATCACCAAGTTCAGCCGCTTGCTTGCCAGGCTGCTTGTGACCCAAGCAGCTGGCCTGCACGACGGCGCCGCCCGCGTATGCTCAATCTCTCTCTGTTTTGTCACCTTGCTCATACACACCACCATTCTCTTGCTGTGCTTCAAGTCGGTCATACCTGCAACATGGCACCCCCTGGGGGTCTAGGTTGGGGTCACGTGAAGGACGCAGAGGGGTGCAAGTGCTCCTTGATGCGAGGTCGGCTTGAATCCCAAAAGTAGTCTGTATCTGGGTAACTGTGTATCACTGTAATCATCACTTCTTTTCTGTGGCTGCACTGGACTGCAGTACGAGCCGCCACTGAAGCGCACTCAATGGCTGCGACGGGGCTGCCACCAACCATGACAGCACGTACAGGCAGTCATGCGCCGTGATTGCACAGGGAATGGGCACAAAATTGTTACTCAGGCCTCCCTCCAACGACGTATGAAAATTGTGTTGCGGCTCAGTCAATTAACCACCCTGCATCAGGGGAAATGTCACCCTTCCACAAGATTGCCAGGGGCTCGAAAGCTGCGCGATGCATCCACCTTGTGCATGCTCATCAGCGCAGATGCGCACTGGCATACGCCCCTGTATCTGAGTGTGTTCCCGCTCCACAGGCAACAAGCCACACATCCACACAGTCTACCTCGATACACAGCCATCACGGTCACTCTTGCATCTCAGTAGGCATGGGTGTGCGTGTGTGCGTGCATGCATCAGCGTGCATGCAAGCTGGTGAGTGAGTGTGTATTGATTGTCGCGGTCACCCCTTCTTGGCGTACGTATCGTACAGGTACTTGACTATCGCTGATGACTCAAACAGGTACACCCCCTGGTTGGGGTCCTCCAGGTACGGCACCTGCGGGGCGACGGGCGGTTGGAGGGCGGTTGGAGGGCTGGCGGGTTCATGCCGCGTTGCCCTCGCAGGGCTGCATGGTAGGGCAGCCCGGCGCAAGCGCTTGCCCCGAGGACGGCGGTTGGACGGGCTGCAGTGTTGCGAGGAGCGCTGGCATGAGGCCCAGGCACGGCGTCTCCACAAGTGTACGGATGTCCCATGGCGTGAGGCTATGGGCATGGCAAGGCGCACGACCGTTCCCCTCCGCCCAAAAGCCGCACCCCACCTGAAAGGTGCCGCGCTTCTCCAGCAGCAGCTGCCGCTTGGGGGAGCCCCGGCTGGCAGTCACCTGCACGGCACAGCCCACAGAGAGCGCATGGGGTTGTGTGTTCACGTTCAGGCGTGCGTGCGTGTGTGCAAGTGTGCAAGCAAACGTGCATGCGCACGTGTGCAACTGCTCTGTGCAACACCCCCCCCCCCACTACCACCGCCACACCCACCTGCAGGTAGGGCAGCTCCAGCTCTGACAGCGCCTCCTTCACCACCTGTGACCGGGGTTGGGTGCATGCTCGGTGCAAAAAGCAGGGTGGTCAGCAGGAGCAAACAAGCCTGCACTGCAAGGGGGCTGCCAGCAGTACAGCAGGTGCACTGCAGTGACCCTGCCCGCGGTGGTTCGGCCTCAGCAGGTCCTCCTGGCCGAACGGGCGAGCCCTTAGATGACAGGCCCGCGCCCCGGCCAGGCGCCGCGCCGCCTGCCTGCGGGCCCCTGCCCCCCCGCGGCGCCTCACCACCACAAAGGGCGACAGCTCGTAGCCCCACAGGGTGAGGGGCTGCTCCGGCACAGTCGAGGGCACGTACTTGCCGCCCTTGCCGGCGCTGCGGTTTTCGGCGTTGCGGAGGGTTAGCAGGGTGTGGCGATTCGAAACAGGCGGTTCATGTTATGGGCGCTCACATACCGCTGGTGCAAGAGCATCAATGGCGTTGCAATGTGCTCTTTAAGAGGCTCCTCCACAAAAAACGCGCGACACGCCCTGCGTTTGCGGCGGCTAGCGCCTCACCCCCAACCAACAACCCACTAATAAAACCCGCCCGACCCACGACCAGCCACCGCCGTGCCCACCGTGGTGCCAGCCCCAGGCCGCAGGTCAGTGTGGTGAGGAAGCCCAGCCTCAGGGAGAGGGGCACCTGGCCGTCACCATACTCCTGGGGTTGGGACAGGGACGGGGGGGAGGATGACATGCCCACAGCAACCATGGGGGTGGCCAACACGGGGAGCACGCACTGGGGTGGTGTGCAGCGGCGCGCTGTGCGCATCTGTAGGCGAATACGCCTACACGCAAGAGGCCGGTAGCAAGCACAATAGGGTGGGGGGAATGCAACTGCAAAGGGCACATCATCATGATGACACGCTGCTCATGACTCACCGTGAACAGGTAGTTGATGATGTCATCGCTCTCGTAGAGCTGCTTCCCGTTGTTGGGGTCGATCAGGAAGGGGAACTGCCGGGTGGAGGGCATTGTGCACAAGAACGGACAAGGTGGTGTCAACGGCGGTCGAGAGGGGCGACAAGCAGGAGGAGCCGACAGCTGCAAACAGACTACTGAAGCAGTGTCCATGCCTCCGCCAGTGTGCGCCCCCTGTCGATGGGGCAGACCGGGGTGGGTCAGGGGGCGCTGTGCTTGCCCAGAGGGTCCGCACCTGGGCCTTGCCGCCGAGCTCGACAGCCTTGGGGCGCCACGTCACACCTCCCTGGACGGGGGGACCCAAGCAATCGCAATGCATCATGAGCAGGGGCGGTTTGACGGTGGGGGGACGGGGCGCTGGAACGGCGCTAAGCCCCAGGTTGGTATACTTGATAGACGACGCTGGCGCACGCCTTGAGTCCAAGCATGCCGACCTAGAGGATCCCCGTATACAAAAGGTTGCTCAGCACGGGGGCTGCTCCCATCTTCTTTGAGGTAATTTTGAATCCCACATGAGTGCCCGCCTCGCCCTGCAGCAATCCCCCACCTTGGGACAGGGGTAGACCAGCACATCCAGGTCCAGTATGCTGATGGCCTCACGCACCTGGATGTATAAGAGGTAGGGTGAGAAAAGGTGGTCAGGTGTGATAGTGTCACTTGTGCGTACGCAGGTGTGCGGCAGAGGTACATAAGAAAGCTTGAACGGCGCAGGTCATGGCGGGGGCGCCGCTGCACGCTCCGCGCCGCAGCCCCGTGGCTATGCCGCAGCTGGGGCCAGGCGCTTGGCGGAGGCTTGAGCCGGAACAAGCGGACGCAGCTGATTCGTTAGGCTTCACCCCGTCAGCCATTTCGCTCTCTGGCACGAGGCGTCAAGTGAGTCATGGACGGCTCATGGCTAAGACCACCTTGCGGCAGAAAGGGCAGCTCGTGAACTCATAGAGCTCCTGGTGGGGGGCGCAAGGGTCGAGAGGTACGGACATGAATTGGCCTTTCCATCGTGCAAGATTGCGTGCGTTTCAAGCTTCGCCCAGGCAAGGCCAACAGTTGGCAAGACGGGCTGCGTTGAGGTGCGTGGCTGGAGGTACCGTCACGCCTGCGCGTGCAGGAGGGCGACGTGGCTGTGGTCCCTAGCCGGGGTTCAAGGGCCGACAGAGCGGCCTCAGCCCCCATCAAACCCGCAGATAATGAACCCGAACCCTTGCCCTTGTGGCCGTGCAGGGCTCACCAGGGGCTGAGCAGGGCGCTTGAAGGTCGACACTTTGGAGGTCTGCGGGGCAGTGGTGGTGGGTGTTGGGGG